TGAGTTAATAGTTTGTGGTTCTTTTAATAGAGGTAATTGATAGAAGTAAAGGTATCTGTTGTAGTATATATCCAAATTATAGGAGTCTAGTGATGTTGGTGATGATTTAGATAGGTTTTCTTCTGTAGGGGCACTCACCGTTTGAAGCTTGGCTCTAACAGCTACGAAGGGTTCCATAGTCTGCTATGTACGTTTGGTCTGACTGACATATAGGCTGTTGATATTTGCATATTTCAACATTAAACATTGTTTTATAAAGTTATTTTAATATTTTGGATTTCAGATTTAGTAGATTGTCTTTATCTGAAAGATCGTATCTGTTATGAAAATAAAAAGCCAAGTTAAGTAGATTAAATAGATATTTTTTTAAAAACAATCCTTTGATTGTATCTAATTTTTCAAAAGCTAAATTCTCAAAATTCATTAGGGTGATATAGGTTGCATATAATCCACAAGGGATTCTAAACGATTGGGATATTGTTAATAGATTGAACTTAGCAACTGTACTATTAGTTTTTGAAGACATATAGACTATGTTATCCGTTAACCAAAAATAATATTTTTGAGGATCAATATTTTTTTGTTTACACGTTTCAAATATAGTAGTTGATATTGTTTCAGTATTATAATATGTTATATCAATTACTTTTGCTATAGTAATTGCCACTTTTGCTTTAATATTATTCCAATATAAAAGGCAAATAATTAATACTTTCATTTCTCCTCGTGTGCTTTCATCAGCCATAATGCTATAACTAAAAAATCTGGAAGTTTCTTTAGAATGATTTTGATTAAATGACAAAGCCACTATTTCGTTATTCTATCATGCTAAAGTTGATGATGATACCTACTGCTATGACATCTTTTTAGTTAAGAATTGATAGATAGCTTTAGTACACTCTATAGTTGTATTTATAAAGATTTGGTCTATATTACTAATATCAGTAGCTAATTTTACAAATTTGGTACTATATTCCTTATTATTAACTTTAAATAATTTATTAGCAATATGTCGAAATTGAGCAGGCCTGATTTTTTTTACTTTACGAATTGCTAATCAAATTTTGGAACTTGTCTTTTTTTTGATTGTCTTGCCCTTGCTACTTGTATAGAATATGATTGAAGTTTAGTGTTTATTGCTGATATATTTTTTTTTAAGTATTGATTTTCTTTTTTTAAATTTTTATTTTTTAATTTTAACACACCAATAATACAATTTTGTTGATGAAGACTAGTATTAATAAATTCACATACCTTTTTTTGTAAATAAATAGAAATTATTTCTTTTTTATGAATGCCTTAAGAATAAACCATGGTTTAGAAGAGATTTGACATATTGAATATTTGTTGGTTAAGTAAATTACAAATACGTATAAAGATATCATTGTATTTTCTTTGAATATAGGTGTTCATTTCTCAGGATTCAAAGAGTTTTCTTGTTGTAGAAATAAATTCATCATCATTTAGTTGTGAGAATGATAGAATCAGATGATCAAGCAGTTGTTTTTGAATACAAGTATTCATTTTTCGAGATTCAAAGATTTTTTTATTAAAAAACTAAAATCATTATCATTTAATTGTGGGAATTTTGGAATCA